TCTGCCACGCCATGTGGTCACCTCCGGGGCAGGCGGGAATCGAACTCATGAGGAAGCGGCTTTAGATTCTCAGTGCTGTGCTTTAACCCGCTGCGCCACCAGGGAGGGCCAGATTCCTTCTCTTTTTACTTGAAATAATATCAAGTGGTATGTGTGGCACCATATATGTAAAATTTATCACTTCTACTTTAATACAATTCTTTGTCCACTATTCGTCAGTGTCATCAAATGTTCTAAAAATATGTCCATCTAAGATTTACCCACAATCTGTTTTTGCACACTTACGAGTCATCGCCTTTGACCACTATGAAATGCACTTGGGTAATAGTTTAACACAACATTAAATGATTTTGTATTAGTAGAAAATGTTAAATTTCACTATTGAACAGGAACATTACAGAACAGCATGTCTGAACATTTAGTCTAAAGCAACTCATAAAGCTGAAAATATTTTTTCTTTAAGAAATGTTTTAGAGACGTCACCACACCTTTGGGGCCCCCATGCCCTCTGCTTGACTCTTTAATCCTTTAGTCACACATCAAATGTGATCAGAAATGAAGCTATGTCTTCCCATTCTTCTTAGCATACTCAATTTGCTTAGGATAAAAATAGTGCCATTGATGGTGGTAATCAGTTCAGACTCTTCAATTTGCCATTTGACATTCTTCATTATTCCTTATGAAAAAGAAGCAAATAACCACAAAGAGAATTTAAAGAAACCATAAGAGATCAGGGACAAATATAGCATACTTTGATTATAGAGACAAAGTGGCTAGTATTATTACTAGGGATCATCAAAAGTACACTCTCTACATGTGTAATCAGATGCTTAACAAACAGTTTCTCACAGTAAAAATATAATGACTATTGCAGGTCAAGTGTCCACAAGCATATAAATTATATCATTTATGGTCATGGTTTATTTTATTTTTACCTCTCTTAAAATTTTATACTTTTCATTGTGTAGCCTTTGTATCTGTTGAGGCTCATTAGGACTTGAGCAGGGATCTCATATGCTTTAAAAGGATTTTTTTTTTTACTCTTACTGCTGGGTTACTAAAGGAGAAAGTAAAAATTGTTAATTGTAACTATGACATTAGACCAGCTATAGAAAGAATAACTTTTATTTTTTTTTTTTTTTAGGTTTGTAGCCAAACCATGTGCCATAGCTCTCAGCATTCAGGCCAATGGACCACAAATTGCCCAGCCAAATGCCATTCTGGAAAAGGTCTTCACTGCCATTACAAAGGTAGGATTTTCATTGTCTGGAATATGAATTGTCATGAACATCATTCTCAGCCTGAATCATCCAGACCTTTCTCTCTGAGGTTTGAGAATCAGCTTTTGCCCAAAAAATGTGCTTTTTTGCTGCAAAATGTGGTTTTAGAAACCAAGCTCACAAGCGTGACGATCAAACCAAAATAAATAGAAACTGAATAAATGTGAGCATATATGAGATGTATTTGTTTACTTTGCAGTTGATTTTAGAAGCCTGTCTGTGAAAAGGAGTCTAGGTTACATGGTGATTGTTCTGATGCTGAGTCTTTTTAATTTCACCACACGCGAGACAGTCCATGTAGGGCTTGGATGGGACATTGGGGAGGAGATTGGGTAGATTTAAGATGAATAGTTATTCATGACAGAAAAGGCCTGTTTGCTTGTTGCATTGCCCATGTGTTCTCACACTTGTGATACAAGGGAAATATGGATGGAAAAGGGAATAACTGAAAGGAGGGAAGTTACAACATGAAAGGATGAAGATAGTTTGGAGACTTCTAAGTTATAGCTTCACTATGGAGAAAATGGGAGAGGAGATAATCTCTCTGGAGAGTGTAAAAGTCCAAAGTAGAAGCAGGATGGGAAGAGCAGGGGTAGGGAAGGAGAAGAAAGAAGAGAGATTTCCCCTCCCCCCACCCCCCTACTAGCTGCAGTTTCTATCAGACAGAGGAGAGGAGAGTCAGAAACCTTTAATCTAAGGCTGTAAGAAAATAAAGCAAAATACAACATCTAAATATCTTATTATTCTTAATAGATTGTACTTATCTCTTTTCCGACTGTTATGTGGACAGAGAAAGAGAGAAATGTGGCACTTTAGGAGAAGTAATGGGTGTTTTTATATGAAATAGTTCATTTTCCCTCTTTCCTTTTTCTGGGACATTTATGCAGGCATTTAAGATGTGACTTGAGAGTGTTAAGTAAATTTTATTCCATTTTTGGTAATTGTGTTTGCTAGTAGCCATTTGTATTATTTGTCTCTTGTCCTAAAACTGTTAACTCAAATATTCAAGCCTTTTTTGTTTGTTTTATTGTAATTTCTCTAGGGTTTCCCTCTCTATCCTTTTAAAAATAGTACTTTTTCCTGGAGAAGTTTAAGAAAGTACCAGGTGTTTTTCATAGCTCTGCCAGGAAGAGAAGAATGAGTGGAATTTTAGGAAAAGTTCTGGCAGTTTGGTTGAGTGATTTTAGATTTTCAAGTTCCAACCTGAAGGGACACATGTCCTGTGGTATTTAAAGGAGAAAATATTAAGAAAAGAACTTATATTTTTATCTAACATGTGAATTTACTGTGGCAAAACACCTTTTCCTCTGTTTAAACAAAATATATGTAGGGCATTATCTGGTTCATTTTTTAATGTGATTATAACATATTTTTGTTTACCTTAGGAACTGTTCTAAATGCATTAAATGTACCATATTCTAGATGGATAATAAAAGGATTTTCCTGGCCAAATGCTATGCCTCCATTTTGAAGTCCTGCAGGGGACATTGTATTTTCCTTGCCTTATATTCATTGCCTTTTGGTTGCTGAAGAAATTTCTTTTGTACAGGTAATAAACAGAATTTTGCAACTAGGTTGACACTCAAGAGAATATTTGCTTCCAGCTAATTTTAAAGACCATATTCTCTTAGTTTCCAAGGTGATTCCTTTGGAAGTTTTTATGTGATTAGAGCAGAAGGTTCATGCTGTAATTATAAATGCAGCAAAGTTGGAACTCTTTTTCCTTGAGTTCTTCGTAGTTCTCCCATGCTGTTTATGACACAAGAAAGTAGTGTTCACTTGACTGAACTGGAAGTAGGAGGAGAAGGGGTTGGACTGTCTACATGTTTGAATGATCATCTTGCATCCTAGCCTTGACATGATCCAAGTCACCTTTGGAGAAGGACATTGTCACCCTTTTCCAAGTGTATCAGGATGTATCCTCAAACTCTTAAAATCTATTGTGCACAGGACTAGTCTCACAATCTGTACAGGCCAGTGAAGAATGAAATTGTGGAAACCATTGTTCAAAAAGCAAGAAAAAATGCACCCCTTAAAGGCATAAAAAAATTAAGCTTACTTCCAGTCTTTTTCCCCTCTCAAGGTGTTTTTGTTCTTCCCTCTGTAATGTGGATATTCAGAGATAAGTACAGATCCCTGGTGGGCAGCTGAGACCCCACCCTGTGACTGAGTATGCTGTGACCACTAGCTGGTGAGCTCTGGCTCTCCTCAGATCCCAGGCCACTCTGCCCAGACCAGGGGTGAGGAAGTTGAGGCAGTCTTCTCCCCTTTCCATGGCCTAATGCCTCAAAACTGACCTCTAAGTGCATTGCAGTCTCTGCACCAGAGCACACACAGTGCCACTGACCGGTGGACGGAGCGGGGAGACTTGTCATCACCAGGTTGCCCTGGTAACAAGAATGCTGCAGTCTGGGGTGCATTAGGCAACTGCCATGTTCGACCCTGAGACACTTTGGGGCAAGCACACCAATCTTAGCCCTTTTCATGCTTGTATTCACAGCAGTAGTCACTGGCAAGGGTGCAAAGGGATGATAGGGCTTGGTGAGCCAGGGGGCAAGGAAGTCAGTTAGTTACCTAGAACTCGTGTGCGGGAAGTAGTTTGACTGTGTGTGAGCCTGGCCTCCAAGTCCCTGAAACATACTGCACTTCATTGGACTTCAGAGAGGCGCCACTGATTCCATATAAGATCGTTCAGAATTTTAAGATAGCAACCACAGGAATTTAAGCCCCAGTGTGGGCCTTTCAGAATGTGGGACTCTTTGGGACTGCACTGGTCACATACCCTGACTATGTGGTTCTTGTCTATGAAATTAACTGATAGATTTGAGCCCCTTTATATCCCCAAGCAGATTTTCCTTTGCAGGTCACATCTGTTTGCTGGTCTCTCTCTTCAGTAAAATCTAATGTTTTGTAAACATTACAGAGCACTGATCCCTTCTGCAAAATAATTAGAAGTTTTCATTTTGAGTCACTAGCCTGAGTGGTAGTTTGGAGCACCCCTGTGCTGCTGGCCAGCATCTGTCTTGGGCTGCATGTCATTAATAAATGAGGGGGTTTTCTGTTTAGGCCAGTGGTTTCCATCCTCTAGTTCACACCTGAGGAGTGAAATGCACATTGCTTCATCCTATTTCAAGAGATTCTGACTTAGTAGACTTGGGATAGGGTCCAAGATTATGGGTTATCAAACTCATTCAAATGAACTGAATGGATATTTTTGAGTTACTTAATTGACTGTATCCAGAGTTATGTGAAGATATCTGTACATAACCAATCATTGGCAGGTATCTATAATGCTGGTAACCTCACTTTTCTAATCAAGTCAATTCCCCATTATGGGAAAACTATGTGTATAGACTGCAAAACCAGGTTTTAAAATCCAGAGAAATCATAATAGTCCACTTTTGGTACGTCATATATTATTTCAAAAGTTATAAACAGATTCCTTATAATTTTTTTCTCCCTCAGTTTCCTCTTAATACCTGTCCCCTTTTTATTTTACTTTTCTCTCCTGATGTTGATTATGATTATTAAAATTATTATTCTTGATAATTATTCCTTATTCCTAATAAAAAATGTCTACATGGGTCAGCATTATTCATTTCTTTCCTTGCCAATCTTTAAAAAGAAAACATCAAACAGTTAAAAAATAAAAATATACCTGGAAGGAAAAAAAAACGAAAATCTTACAAACTCTATATTTTGTAAAGTAGGAGACACTTATCGTCTAGTTATATATATATGTATATATATGTGTGTGTGTGTGTGTGTGTGTATACATATGTATGCATATTATGTATGTACTATACATAATATATATATAATATATAGTATATATAGTACATATATATTTTATATAAATATACTGGAAGGGAAAAAAGGAAAAATCTCGCAAACTCTATTTTTGGTAAAGTAGGAGATACTTATCGTCTAGCTTATATATATAAAAGGCTAAGAAAAAAAAAACAGCTAGGGTTGGACAGAATCCATGTGGGAGGAAGTGAAAACATGAAATGTGGATGAAGAACTCAGTGGGTGTGGATTTCAGGCAAATGAGCAAAAAAAAGACAGCTCCTGAGGGTGAAGGAGGTGAAGTTCTCTCCACTGTTTGCCACTCTGGGTAGGAAAGTTAGGCCTCAGATGTCCCTGGACACATTTTCATTCAGAAAGGAGAGGAGCTATATTTCCTGGAAGCAATCTACCCTGTTGGGCAACTGAATGGGAATGGCAAGAGCAAACTTTCTGCTCCCCATACTAGCAGGAGTTGTCAGGAAAATCCAACTGACTTAATCCATGAGTAATAAAGAAGGACTCACACAACATTAAGAACAAATAAATGAAAGTGTAGTCCATTTATTAACAAAAATTGTCACTAAAAAAATTGACACCACAGGTCTAACAAAAATTGTGATGTAGTGGTTTAGCATACATTTAAAAGGTAATGAAGCAGTTATTCTTTGAGAGAGGACCATAGGAAAATAATATAAGAACTACAGGAAAAAATTTTGGTCAGCAGAAAGAGATGCAGTGTGAGCTGGTGGGTGTAAAGTACTGAAACCATGACAAAACTAAAGAAAGAATTGGAAAAAACACATGAAGCACTAGAGATTGCTGAAAACTCAGCAGGAGCATGAGAGACAGAAATAGTAAAACTGAACTAATTGAAACAAAAATCTCAAGTAATTAGGAATATAGACCAAGCTGACCAAATACCTACCTAAATGAAAAGCCTTAAGGAAAAGTAAAATAGCAAAAAACTGTTGAAAGATTTTATTCAAGAAACTTTTCCTGAAATAGAGGTTCACTTTAATATGCTAATAAAAATGTAGTAAAAATTGACCTAAAAAGATTAGAGCGAAGTCTTTCTAGGGAAATAAAATCAGTATGAATTTAACCTTCTTTATAGCAATATTCAGCAGAATCATATATTTAGGAAGTTGTGAACTAAGAATTTTATATTCAGCCAAATTGTTTTTACATTGTGATATATAAAAACAAACATTTCAGTGCACAAATTAGGGTTGGGGGAGTTGTCCCCATAAATCCCTCTTGAATAAACTGTCAAAACATTAATTTCAGCAGACTATGGATTATCAGGCTAAGGTTTGTCAGGGAATGTTAGTGAGTTTTGAATAATTTCAAACAACTGAACCAAAATAAATTTGAGGATTTGGATGTTAGACCAGAAAACATTATCTACTCTGACAGTAAAAACTATATACAACTAACAATAATCAGGATGGTGGGAGTTGCAATAATTCCACTGCTTATTTAATCAGTAGCTGGGAACCAAGGGGTGTCAGTTTAAGCAGACCAACTGAGTAATAGAATTATGAACATATTTAACCATAAAGAATAAAATTTATGAGAGATAAGATTAGTAACTAATATTGGCTCAGGGAGAAAGAGGAAATTTACTAGTTTCCAGTATTACTGATATGGACTTAGTATTGACTGAAAACAAATGGAAGTATTATGACTGTATGGATAGCCCACTGTAATGAAAATTGCTCACAAGAAGAAGGAAAGTAAGACAAACTGTATTTGGTTTGTTAAAAGAATTGTTTTAAAAGCATCGATACAGTAGGCAAGGCGTAACATAATTAAAGTGAGTGAACTATAAATATCCTTATTGATTATATCATTTGACTCATCTAATGAACAATTCAGTTTGGGTTACAAAGCATTAAAGAAATGCCTTAACACAAGTAATTACAAATATTGAAAAGAAGAGTAGGTATGAGTAAGGGAATATGATAAAAAATAAAGAACATAGGGCTGCTAGTTTTACATGAAGTTGGAATTCAAGTCAAGAAAGATTAAAACAATGACTTGGCATTTTAATGCCAGAGGATACAATTCACAATGAATTTAAAATAGATATGAAAATGTATGTATTGAATATCCTAAGAAGGGGAATCTTTGAATGATGCCTCTTTGCAGCTTCACCTTCCCCCAGCTGCTTCCCTTGAAGGTTATTGCAGTTGACACAGTGGGGTGGCTGTTCCCATCTAATCTTCCTTGCTGATGAGAAGTACAAGTATTTGAGCAGAATCCGTTTGTTGTTTTATAATGAATAACTACTTTTTTCCTAAGTGCTTGTTAATATTAGATCTGTTCAAGGTGGACCAATGTTCCCAGTGTTCAATGCAGAAATCTGAAGAGCAGATAGTCTAAGTGGGAAATCCTTGACATATAGAGGAGAGATCTATTAGTGATGAAGATGACAGTGTTTTTCCTGGTACTTGCTTCATAGCATCCTGATGAGAAGCGACTGGAAGGTCTGTCCAAGCAACTGGACTGGGATGTTCGCAGCATTCAGCGCTGGTTTCGACAAAGACGCAACCAGGAGAAACCAAGCACACTCACCCGGTTCTGCGAGAGCATGTAAGTTGTTTTTCATTTTGAAAGAAAGCCTTGCCTAAGTTCTATACCATCCTTGGGGTGAACATACAGTTCTTTACAGGCTCCACAAGTCACCAAAAAGCATGCCTTTGGGTGGAAAAGAATTTGTGTGTAAGAATTTGTGATGTTTACAATGACTGCAGTCAATGACATTTGCTACCTAATGGACTTTCTGCAAAATAGGAAGATTACAGAGGCTAACTGTGGTAATTTCAATCATCCACCTTTGAAATACAGCACTAGAAACTCATTACTTTTATCATTGGAATTTTAATAGAAGGGACTTTCTGAAAACGTTCTCTCCACTAATAATAGCTGAGACACTACCAGAGGGTCATGATGATGTCCTATATTCCTGGAGATTTAAGAAATGGCAGTATTATTTTCCTGGTGAGTTTAATGAAGCATTGCTTGAAAGTGGGGAGAACAGAAAGAATGCCTGCTCCATTTCTGAAATGTGAACTTTATGGTGTGTAAATTATATATCAATAAAGCTGTTAAAAATAATAAAAGACTCACAGAGAATGCTTCTAACACAGTGATATTTGGAAGTACTGACACAGAATACACTTCATTTTAGGAAAGTTAGAGAAAAGGAGGAGCGAAGCATTGAGCCCCAACCCCAACCAAGGAAAGATTCCACCGCCAGACTCATTGGCCTAGACTCGTTCATCCTTCGGGGTTTGACTGTGCCTTTGTTTATCAGTTCTTTCCTTTGGAGGTAGTCCCTGGCCTCTGGTCACTTAAACAACCGTGTTGTCAGTGTATACATTCTTTGAGACTCTTTCTACTTGGGGTTAAAGTTGTATTTTCAGGTTTTGCATTTAAACAAAACTTATTTTAGCCATTTGCAGAGAAACCCTAATGTTATAGGAGAAATGAGGGGGAGGGAAGAGAGTGTAGATTATGAGGGCTGGATGAATAGGGGGAGCATAAACAGGGTCTTCGGGAGGTCACAATATTTATAAAACCTAGAACAACAACCTAGTAGATACAATCTGCAAATCCCTTCCTATAATTGAACTAGTGGCAGTTTATGGAAGAAGTATTTCTGCATCTGGGCTCCTCCTGATCAAAAGCCAAAATTGCTTCCTGGCTTTGACACTTATGCAAAAGGCTCAGGCTCTCTAGTGAATTCACATGTCTGAGCAACGGTGAAGTTGGATCTTGCCCCACAAAGCGCACGTTCCCTTTTCCCCTCCTTCAGCTAGCTACTTTGGCAATAACATAGTGCAAGTCCTTTCTATACTGTACTCACCAGTTCCATGCTAGTGTGCCCAAGAACTACTCAGCTGGCTCTTTTTAAAAATAAAGATCGTGGCCCTCCCTGGTGGCACAGTGGGTTAAAGCACAGCACTGAGAAGCTAAAGCCACTTCCGCATGAGTTCGATCCCCGCCTGCCCCGGAGGTGACCCACATGGCGCTGCAGACCCCTCCCGACCCCCTGCTGCTCCCCTCAGCAGTGTACTTCATCAATCTGCCTGTTTTGCTCCCCACTCTGTTTCTGGTGAATCCTCTCACCGCCCCTGCATCTCTGGCCTGTACCCCAGTTCTGTATATACAAATAAATAAATCTTTTTTTAAAAAAAAAAAGAGGGACCCTCCCTGGTGGCGCAGTGGGTTAAAGCGCAGCACTGAGAATCTAAAGATGCTTCTGCATGAGTTCAATTCCCACCTGCCCCGGGAGGTGACCACATGGTGTGGCAGACCTCTCCTGACCTGTCCGCTGCTCCCCTCAGCAGTGTACTTCGTCGCTCTGCCTGTTCTGTTCCACGCGCTGTCTCTGGTGAAGCCTCTCACCGCCCCTGAGCCTCTGGCCTGTACCCCAGTTCTGTATGCACAAATAAATAAATCTTTACAAAAAAAAATGAAGATTGTGATTCAGTCAGTCAGCAATAGTAGCCAGGGTGGCATTTTCAACAAAATCCCAGGAGATCCTAATGCTACTGGCCCAGCGACCACACATTTCTAACAGCAGGACTCAACACTACACCAGCATCTGGATCTTCTTCCTGAATTTAGCTGGCCCTTACCTGTCTATCATGAGACTGTCATGGCTGCAATCATTTAAAAATAATTTCTAAGTGATTCTGAGAGACACAGCAATGTGAAGAAGGCAGTGTGGTCAGGGCCACAATGATATCAGTTACGATCTCTCAAGAAACTTACTACAGCGTCAGGAAGATAAGGCATGCTCTCTGAGTGTGTGTACATCAATATCATCAGTATTAGTAGCTATCTACCATCCATGTGCTAGATGATTGGTACACCCCACCAGAACTGACAGATCAAAGGAAAAGAGCTCCGGCAGAGTTGGGGCGCTCAGTTTGCTGGTACTAGAACTCAGTTCATCCCAGTGGACTTTGACTTCTGTGTCAGAAGACTGTATTGGTGAACTTGTTTTGAAATACTCTTCTCTTTGGCTTTTGGGTTGCCCTTGAATTCTCCTGCCTCTCTGAAGGCTTGTTTTTTTTTTTTTACGAAAGTTTATTTTTACATCATTTTGTACATTTTTTTTTCATCTCAATTGTAATCCCTGCGGGTTTCCCATCACCAAGTCACCCGTGTGCCATCACCATAATACCATGCACTTCCCTCACCACCCCCCCGTTTTTGATCCCATTCCCCACTCCACCCCCGCAAAATGTCTCTGGTATATGGTTGTTCATTATTTTTGTTATTTTCTCGCCTGGTCCATTATACTCCTGCTATGAGTGAAACCATCTGGTATTTTTCTTTCTCTTCCTGGCTTATCTCACTAAGCATGATCTTTTCCAGCTCCATCCATGTTGCTGCAAAAGACATGTGTTTCTCTTTTTTGGTTGCTGAGTAATATTCCATTGTATATATGTACCACATCTTTTTTATCCAGTCATCTACTTTTGGGCATTTGGGCTGCTTCCATGTTTTTCCAATTGTAAGTAAAGCAGCAATAAACATGGGGATACAGGTATCTTTTTCAATCAGTGTTTTTGTGTCTTTTGGGTAGATACCTCTGAGTGGGATTGCTGGGTTGTAGGGAAGCTCCATGTTTAGCAGTTTGACGAACCTCCAAACAGTTTTCCATAGTGGTTGTACTAGTTTGCATTCCCACCAGCAGTGCAGGAGACTTCCCTGAAGGCTTTTTTATAGCATCATTTATTCTCCGTTTTCTCTGTCACCTGTTATGGCCCTTATATAAAGACTTACTCAGACTCAACCTCAACCTCTTCATTTCCTTATTCTCCCCTCCTCCTTCTCTGGAGAAGTTTCCTTATCTCACCAACTTCTTCCAAAGCCATGTCCAATGCAGATGTTTCTTCACAGGTATTATTCTGCTTTTCCCAACTAGTATCTCTTATTTACTTCTTTCTACAACTTTCCTTTTTTTCCTGTTGTCTGCTTGCTTCCATTAAACTCAAACCAATCAAATACTGAGTTCTATTCAGTTCTTTGTAAAGCCACAACTTTGTCTCAAATCTTATTCCTCATAGGTCTCACTATTTATTTTATATTAATAAATAGTGTATCTGCTACAAAAACTGTATGTTCCTAAAATACTGTCTTCAGATACTGTGTATCTGCTACAAAAACTGTATATTCCTAAAATACTGTCTTCAAGTTTTGCTGCTTCAAAACCTTGATAATTTTTTTTTTCTAGAACCATAGGATAAATATTAGGTTCCTTTTCCTGACACTAGTTAGGCATTCATATTTGATGTTGGGTACATCCTTCCAGAGGTTTGTAGTTTCATTGTCTATATATTTCCCATTTGTGCTTTGGTTGGTGCTGTGTTCCGGCAAGGAACACCTGTATTCCACTGCTCTGCCTCTATTCCCTACTCATTCTTCAAACCCTGGGCACTATCATGGGATAATTTAAATAGAATCACTGCTTTCTTATGTGATTAATTATTCTGAACTTGTCTATGTATTTGCACCATAATTATCTATGTGTATATATATATATATACACACATATATATATATATACACACACACACACATATATATACATACATACATACGTATATATATTGCTCCTTGAAATCCAAGAACCCCATCATGTTTTTCTTGCATTCTTCTCAGCCTTTACTAAAATACACAGACTCTGCTGAATTAATAACTATTAAATGACTCTCTATTATAATGATGTTTTGGAAAGCTTTGCTGATCCAAGTTGGCATTCTGACTCTCCCACCCCCATGTGAAGTGTGTGATGTACAATGACTTAACCTGAAGTTTGTGTAGGAAAATCACTGAACTGTGGAAAACTCTAAGACAGTTTCAAAGGCAAACATTCAGATATATATATGCTCATATATATATATATATATATGTATGTATGTATGTATAAGATTTGGAGTAGTTGTTTTTAACCAAGATGCTCATGATAATCTGCGAAGTTGGCAAGCTTTTCAGAACACACATGCCCTGCCCCAGGATGCCTGATTCAGGATGGTGATCCAGGTAGGGCCTGGACTTGTGTATCTTAGAAGAAACCTCCTGAACATGTACCACATACATCCTTGGTTAGAGCACATCAATATCTAAAGAGAGATGACTACGTATAAAATACTAAAAATTAAATAGCAAGTCAACACAAATTTGGGGCTTGATATAGGACCCAAGTGTAAAGCTTCTCCTCCCGCCCATGATATAAGTTGCTATTTTAGAAAGTCTGGGATGCACTCAGAGCATTGTGTTTCATCTCAGCAGTGTGAAGCAGCCCCAGTATGCATGCCAGCCAGTGCTGGTAACCATCTGCTGGCAGGTCCAGGTCTTGGCAGGCTCTTTTCATGCAGATGGACTGAGTAGAAGATGTTCAGCAAGTAGTGTGCTTAAACATTGATGTGACTTTTTTTTTCTTCATGCTTGATGTCACTCATTCATAGCTATACTAGTTTTGATGCATGTTTCTTCCAGATGCATTTAAATCCTTATTAGTAACTGAGAGACTTTCAAGAGACAGCAAAGATTTTATAAAAATGAGCTGTTATGTG